ACATATATGGTGACTGACAAATAATCGTGTACAACTGAAATGTCACTTATGAACTATTATGACCTAATAATAAAAGAAAAATAACTAGAAAACAAAACCAAACAAAAAAGTATCACAATCTTACAAAATTAGCCATAATTTTTAAAAAACTAATATCCAGTTTATATTCAAATTTCCTGACTACCTTAAAGATGTCATATATTTTTTTATTACTAAAAATTTCAAATATAAAGAGAAGTACAATAAACTCCCATATACCCATCATCCAGTTCAATATTTTATTTACTCATAAACAGCCTTCACCCACTCTACCCCACCCCATGCCAGATTATTTTAAAGCAAATCCCAGACATATCTTTTTAACTTTTTATTGAGATTATGATAGTTTACAACCTTGTGAAATTTCAGTTGTACATTATTGTCAGTCATGTTGTAGGTGCACCACTTCACCCTTTGTGCCCACCCCCCACCCCGACATACCTTTTTTATCCATATACAGTTTGGTATTTTAAAAATGTCCTTTCACAGTTTGAATCAGAATCCAAAACTACAGCCTGATATTGTCCTTAGTTATGCCTCTGAACTCTTCTTCATTCTATAAACCTGCCCCCACCTCCCACCCCCCCACACACCCTTTTTCTTTTCCAATGCTACTGTTCTGTTGGAGCTACCAGGACTTTTGACCTGAAGAATGACTTCATCTTTTGAATTGGATAGATTGCTTCCTCATAGTATGTTTTGTTGCTCAATCTCCCATATGTTTTAAACTAGTTATTAGTTGTACAGGCTTGACAAGACTCAGGTTCTAATCTTCAAACACAAAAATTTCCTAGGGAACATTACATACTTCCTATTGTACCACATTACGGGACACATAATGTTTGACCCATTTTCAGTGGTATCAAGATTGATCACGGGGCCGGCCCGGTGGCACAGCGGTTAAGTTCACACGTTTCGCTTCTCGGTGGCCTGGGGTTCGCCGGTTCAGATCCTGGGTGTGGACATGGCACTGCTTGGCAAAAAAACATGCTGTGGTAGGCGTCCCACGTATAAAGCAGAGGAAGATGGGCATGGATGTTAGCTCAGGGCCAGTCTTCCTCAGCAAAAAGAGGGGGATTGGCAGTAGTTAGCTCAGGGCTAATCTTCCTCAAAAAAAAAAAGATTGATCACGAGTTCAGCTGATATCAGCCTGATCCTTTTACCATAAAGTTCCCCATCAAGCTGTGACCTGATGGTTTTAGCATCCACTGATGATGGTTACCGAGATCCATTACAATTATGGATTGCAAAAATTACTTTGGTGTTGATTATTACTACGATGATTACATAGATCCATTACACGATTATGAGCTGAAATGTTTCCATAAAGAAGAACTTGACCACATCAACATTTGGTTACCCTGAAATGAATGATTCTCTCCCTTTATTAATTTTCAAAGTAATGAATTGGTGCAATCTCCAGTAGTTTATTTTAGCATAATTATAAACTCATTTACATATTTGATGATTTTGAGTCCACTGCAGCAGTATTTTTTTAGATGCCAAAATTATCCCATCTTAGGCCAAGGGAGCTCGAGTGTGTGCGCACATGCACACGCCTGTGTCTATGTGTCTAAAAGAAAACCCTGACTTTACTTCAGTCCAGATTTACTCTGAGGCAGTCCACTGGTAAGACTAATACACAGCATCAGGAAACAGAAATCCATGAACTCAGAAACAGTATTTATTAGGATAACAAAGCTAGTACTGGTAAGTCTTCTGGCTGCACCAAGAGGGACTACTTGGAGATTTCCTGCCAGCTGAACTGTAGCACATATCCTCTCTTTAGAATCTTTACAAGAAAATACTCCTCTCTGTCAACCCACTTCCACCACCCACCCCCCACCCTAGAATCTTACAGCTCCAGAGGTTTACAGAAATTTCTCACAATCTGTTTAAAAAGAAAAATAGTTCAGCCTCTCAAATAACTCTCTAAGCAAAGAGGTTCTTTCTTTTTTCCTTTCCTGCCCATAAAAAACATGGAATTTTCTCAGCTGGCTGTCAGTCTGTACATTGGCAGCCCTTGGAGTCAACAAGGGGGGCGGGAGGGGGGAAGGTGGGACAATAGTCTCTGAGGCAGTTTTGCTTGTGTCTGTCCATATATCATTCTGCAAGTCCGGCTATGAGCTGCTTACTATCATCCCCACATCAAGGGACTACGGAAAGTCAAGGCATGAAGGTGTCTTATAAAACTCATCATCTCAATGTGGGTAAAACAGTACATAAACTGTTTTCATCACTATCCAACCCTTAAGAATCCAGAACACGTTGCTATTATCAAAGTAATACCATTCCCATTTAGTTTACTCTTTGTACATGCAGTATAGTGGCCAAGTACCATGGTTCCATATGATTGGATACTGCAATAAGGTCACATACATAGGGACTTGTTCCAGGACATGAATTCGAATATATTCAGAACGCCAATGGGAAATTCCATGACAGTGTCAAGTTTATTCTCCAGGTTCTGTTGAGCCATAAATGAAGATCACGGGCAAGGACCACATGTCAAACTTCTCTGTGACTTGCTGATGCTTCTTAGAATTGGAAACAGTCCCTAAGGATCTCCATGGTGGTAAAGAGCTCAATATATTAACTCCCAGAGGGTCACTGGAGTTTATTCACATGATTCTCATAAACCTGCTTTATGCAGTAAAGGCTCCATATTTCATTACCCCAATCAATAGTAACTGTGGATCAAGTGGTAATTTAAGAAGTTTTCCATCAGTTGCATATAAACTTACGTCAGTTGTTCCATAAGAGTTCACAGCACTGAAGGTAAAAAGCCTCTTTGGAAAGACTGGTATTTGATCTTTGGGATGGCCCTACCAGGGTCAGGCAAGTCCCCCTCTGCCCTCATCATTTTCTGATTTTGAAATCTGTCTTTGCCTTTGTCCTAACGCTCCATTTGTTCACTTCCTTCATAAGTGTCCCTGGGGCCACTGGAGGCCCCTGGCTCCAGAGGTGAGTACCAGACTCAGCAGATAAAGGGTGTTTCACGTAGTAGCTGGTGTGTTCATGAACAGCCTAGTATAAGTACTCAAGGGTTAGCTGGTGCTTTGGGACAGAAACCAGCAGTGACTGTCTGAGTAACAACGTCCAGAGAATGTGCTCAACCGGAGAATCTCCTCTCTCTTCAAAAGGACTGGAAGAGTGACAAATTCAGAGCTATCCACAGTGGTGCTACAGATCTCATGGACAAAGATATAACATGATACTGACTGGTCCATTCAGAAAATTTTGTGGAAATTGTGTATGTACACATCGGTAATCACCACAGTTTCTGCAGCAATACCAGAGAGTTTCGGTAGAGCCTCACACATTGCAGACACAGCCCTCATCACTGGCAGTCACATGACTCTGGCCTAGTATTCAAGATGGGTCTGCAGACAGCAAGAAGATCTTCATAGTTAGATCTTTCTTCAAGGACAGTTAAATAGCACTGAGAGTCAAAGGTCAAAGAAATCTTAGCACATCTGGACAAAGAAAAGTGGGTATAAAAGGCCACGGAAAGTGTGCACAGAGTAATTCCGTAATCTGATTTTCCCAGGTTTCCTTTGCCACACATCTGGCCACCCACTGGTATCGTTCAGCTCCAAGTAAGGCTACTTCTTCCCTTGGTTCAGACCTTTGTGTGATCCATCCAGATAAAAGACAGCTCCTGAGAATCAATTCTTGCTGGTAGCCAAAAATTTAAGAGGCAAAATGTCCCACGTGGGTTTTGAACATCCACAGGGCCATGTAAGCATTCCTCCCAATAATATCTATTCTGTCTCTGCAATTTCCTCTTTCATCCCCAGAGGACTACTCAAATGATTTCAGCCCCACAGACATCTTTCAAAAAGGGTTAGAGAGTGGTGCAGTTTTCTTCAATCCTTACAAAATTCATGAAATAGTTATTTCTCAGGTCTCTAAGTACACAGGCTGTGTAGGAGACAAATGGGACTCCTGAAAACCAAGTCAGAGCTCTGACTACAAGTGTTGACTTTGGCCATGGGTTCTTTTCACTTTGGGGTTCAATTACAACCACATGGCTCTGGTAGAGCCCAGAGTCCTAAACTATGTTGTCTGACTTGCTGCACCGCTCAGAGGTATTGCTCATATACTCATTCCAGAGCCAAGTCTCACGCTCAGCAGGGATACTAAACAGCTTCTCCATCTCCTTTTCAAGAGCCATAACAGTGTCTGCTTTGCTGAAACGGCAACTTAGCATACTGGTGGAATCACTGTTCTCACAGTACTTCAGTTAAATACACCTTCACTTTGTCGTGTCTGACAGGCCATTCTCTACTACTTTTTTTGATTATGACTTTGCTGGCCTTCTACACAACTATACAAATTTAGTGGCTTATTCCAAGCCTAAGCAGAGGCAGATATATAACCCAGTTCAACAATTAAGTGTTACTTTAAGATCTAACAGGATTTGAAGAATCCAGGGCTATCTATCAGGCCAGAAACAGAAACCACACACCAGGTGCTGATGTCCATACAATGCTTCACTGCTTAAACAACAGGTTGTCAATCAAATACCACTGCATCCATCCCCCAGGTGTGTGCATCAAGGCCCTAGCATGGAATCCTTGACCTCCATGTCCAGTCGCTCTCAGCAGTCTCTGCCCTTCACCATTTCATCCATGGCCCAGGCCCTGCTAATTCAGACAACAACCACAACATGCTGCCCTATATATCCAAGTCCTGCTCCTGTGCCATTTGATATGATCCCAAGAGTCTTCCACAGGTTCCCTGCTTTCTGACAGAAGATGTTCCAGGCTCATCTTTTCCATCTCCCCCAGACCTGGAATTAGCCATTTCTCCATGGAATCACAAATCTCTTCAGTGGAAAACAATATTTAATCTGGATGCTAGGACTGCTCATTGGTACTGAGCTGCCACTGTTTCTAAACCTTGTTAGTATTTATACTAAATTTACACGCAAGCCTGGTGAATAAAAAGCAACTTACAGGCAAAGGAAACAGCTTCCCATTTACTTTTATACATAGACTATTGGGATAGTTATCTTCTTGAGGGCAACTCGTCTCTGCCAGGCAAAGTCTGCATTGAAGATGAAAAAAGAAATCATTATTAAACAGTGTACTCAAAAATTGCTTATATATTTGAAAATTCAAGACTATATGCATGTAGTCAGCAAGTAAAAAATTAAGGTAATAGAAAATTTCAAACTTGCCTCAGCTGAACTTGGACTGTGTAATCTCTCCTACCACCTGGCAAAAAATCCCTGTCAGAAAGAGAAAGAAATTAGGTTAAGAAGGCACAATGAGAATTCACAGGGATATTCTCACCAGAAAAAAGCATTATTTGTATTTTTATTCTTACTTCTTTAAAGATGAACACTAGTCTACCAATAGCACAAACCTTAACCAAAACACTGTAATGACGATAACCCTCATTTACTTAATGTTTAGTCATGTCCTTACAGATATTTCAAAGTATTTTTCTTTTTTTTTTTTTTTTGAGGAAGATTAGCCCTGAGCTAACTGCTGCCAATCCTCTTTTCACTGAGGAAGACTGGCCCCAAACTAACATCCATGCCCATCTTCCTCTACTTTATATGTGGGACACCTACCACAGCATGGTGTGCCAAGCGGTGCCATATCTGCACCCGGGATCTGAACTGGCGAACCCCGGGCCACTGAAGCGGAACGTGTGCACTTAACCACTGCGCCACTGGGCCGGCCCTCAAAGCATTTTCAGTACAATATTGGGAACTTTCACGAGACAATATTCATTTCAATGGGTAACAAATTTGTTTCACATGAAAAGAAGCATCTTAGGGTCTAAAAGAGTTTATAATAAATTAATTTGCTTGCTTATGGTGGTTCTTAACCTTGGCTGAGCATTCTAATCACTTGCAATTTTTCTTTAAATATAAGGTCCATTCACCAGATATTCTTATTGGTCTAGAGTGCAGCCTGAGCATTAGACTTTACAGCTACTCAAGTGATTCTATTACAGAACCAGGATAAAGAACTAGTGCCTAGAGTCTCAATATCTCTATACCATAGCAACTTCATAATTATGTATCCAATTAAGGACAAAGAATCTCTTAGAATTTCTAGATGAGAACCTAATAGAGTCCCATATAAAATATCTTTGGCAGTGAAATTTCCAAATCCTTGCCACTCAAAATAGAGTCCACAGTGAAGCAGTGTTGTTATTGCTGGGAGCTTGTTAGAAATGCAGAATCTCAGGCCCCATCCCAGACTACAGAATTAAAATCTGTATTTTAGCAAGATTCCCAGGTGACATATATGCACATCATGGTATAAAAGTATTATCCTTAGCCATTATAATAAATCTTGGACTTGTCAGAGAAAAGATTAGAGACTAGTCCTTTCTTGAGAGTACCTTTAGCCCTCATCTTGCTTTAACTAAGTCAGTCTTCTGTTTCCAGTTCTCGATGTTCAGCAGAAGGGAGTAAAAGAATAGCAGTGACCAGCTTGAGCTCTAGAGTCCCAGCTGTATGACCTTGGGCAAACTACTTAACCTTCCTGTACCTCAGTTTTTACATCTGTCAAAGATGGAAAATGACTGCACCTACGTTATGGAGTTGTTGTGATGATTAAACATGTTAAATACATGAAAAGTGCCTGGATATAAGAAGTGTTCAACAAGTGTGAGCAGCTGGCTGCTATTATTGTTAACTCTGCTCTCACTGTTTTCCTTGCCAGTAGTAGTCTCCACCCTTCTCAAATGTCTACTCAAAACATCCCAATATCCTAGACAACACTTACCACTTGCAAGTAACCCATATCATTCCACTCAGTAAAATCAAGAAACATTTCAGTCTGGGCCCCAGAGCTTCAAAGGCAACTAAGACACAATATTTACTCTCAAAAGTCTTATAGGCTAGTAGGTAAAAGATTTATACAACTAACATAAAATGTGGTGACTGCTATAGTATATTATGAAAAATAAGTGCTACAGAAAAAAGGGAAATTTAATTTTATCTTGAAAGTTCAAGGTATTTATCACAAGTAGTCCAATCAAATTAGAACACAGGGTTTGTACAGCACTGGTTCTTCCTATTTCTACTTCGAGAGAGACACTTCCATCAGTAACAGAGGCTTCACTAGTGCCGTGATTCTAAACAAAAGGAAAGAGTGAGGATCAACCAGAGATACATAGCAGACTCTTGTTAGGTTGGGGAAATTACTTTGAAAAAAGAGAAATGAGAAAAGACAAACCTAGAAAAATAGATAGGAACATGTTATAAAGGGCTTTGAATAGCTAAAGATTTACACTTTATTCTAGTAAGAGAAATTAACATAAACTGGGAAATGCAATGTGCTAAGTATCTAAACAAACATTATGAATAATGACTAACCATCTTCTGACATTCCTTTTCCTCCAGTCACTGTTCTAGGAACTTTCACATGTTGATCTCATTCATCCATCAGACATAAAGTAGGCATTTACTATATGCCAGGCACTGTGACAGGCTTTGAGAATATACAAGTGAGTAGGAGATGTTGCTTTCATCAAAAAGTTTGTAAATGCAAGTAGTCAAATAAATGCAACAATGCTCTGATAGAAAATAAGTACACAGTACAGTGAGAGACAAAGGGTGTGTTTGGGGAAATCTGAAAAGGCACCACAGAAGAGGTAAGACTTGATCTGGCCCTTAAAACATGACTAGCTTTGCCAAGCAAAGGAGGAAAGAGGAAGATATGCGAAGATACAGAGCTGTGAAAGCCTAGTCAGAGTACAGGCTGCTGGGGAAGAGTGACAGGAGATGAGACAATAAAAAAGATGAGTAGAGCAAGATGTGGAAGAGAATTGCCAGGCAATGGAGAGTGGACTTCATGAGGTATCACCACAGGGTTTTTAAGCACAAGAGAGAAAAAACTAAATGGGCTTTAGAAAGACCACACAGTCAGCTGGGAGAGTTAGGAGACCATTACAATAGTATAGGCAAAAAATGAGGGCTTGAAAGCTATTTAAACGTGAATATCAGTGAATGATATTTAGGCACAAAAACTGAGAGCACTCAATGACTGACTAGATACAAGAAGGTAGGACAAGGCAAGGGGAGCATCTAGGATAGTGCCTAGGTTTTGGAATGGTGCAGGTGGAATGGTGATGCTACTCAACCAGGATAAGAGGAGACAGAGCAAGTTAGGGCATTCAATTCCCTCAACCACTGAGTGAGGTGGTGCTTATTTTTCAAATTTTACACACTGAGTAAATAAAATTCAATGGGCTTTACTACCTTACCCAGGGGCATATGGACCTGAGTGGTTGAGCCAGAATTCACATTCCAGTTGGTATTATTCTAAAGACCATGCTAGCTCCCTCAAAGATAGTTGCATCAAGTTTTAAATCTTGAGATATAAAAGAAGAATCAGTGGCATGCAGCAAACTGACGGGATGTGGTAGATGAAGTGTGGAATAATACAAAGAGGCAGGATAATACGTCCAGGCAAATCCCATGTCATCAATGAAATAAGCAACAGGAGGAAATATACCAAGCAAATACCTCCCTGAGGACAGTTTATTTTTCAACTTTGCACCCCTGGTGGCTGGAACATTGTCTGTACTATAGTAGATAGTCAATAAATATATTCTGTGAGACTAAATGAATAAAAGACAAGCAAGTTAAGGAGGAAGCCAAGTTCAGTTCTGGATGTGCTGTGTTTGATGTGCCTGTGGGTCCTCAAAGTAGAGGCAGTGAGAAAGGACTCCAGAGGAAAGTCTTGGTGATTTTGCAGCCACAAATATAAAAATAAAGCACATTCACAGATACTATCACAGAGTAGTGAGAAGAGAATCACAGATTGATTCTTGGGAACAGGTAAGAGAAGTCAGTGTGATTAACTGAGAGCATGATTACAGAGGCAGTAGTGCCAAATGGAAGGGGTAGTGATAAAACCAAGAAGAAAGCTGATCTCACTGATCAGTCTTCACAAGGTATAATAAAAAGAACAAAACCACCCAAACATCCATGTAGCCAAGCCTCTAGTTTAGACCTTACTACCATTACAGGCAAGGAAGAGAAGCTGGATGCACAGCAGTGGTTCTCAAATTTGCTGCAAACTGGAAACAAGTGGGGAGCTCTAAAAACTGCTACTGTTTGGCTTCCATCCTCAGAGATTCTAATTTAATTACTATGAATGAAACCTGGGTATGTGGATGCTTAAAAGCTCCCCAGCTGATTTTAATATGTGGCAAAGTTTGAGAACCATGGGAACAGAAGTTAAATGACACCACAAGAAGTGAAATCATCAAAATCTAGAATGCATAATATGCTACACAGTCAAATGAACCACTTTTTCCAAAGCAAGTGGTAGCAAGTATTATAAGAGGAACTGCTTAGAGAAGTGATCAATTCCAGAACTGGGGCAGAGAAATTACAAGATGAGCCTTGAGCATCTTGTGGTGCCAAAAAGTAAAGCAGTGCTCAGAAATGGATGGTGATCTATCAAAAGAGCATATGAGGGGCTGGCCCCATGGCCTAGTGGCTGAGTTGAGCGCATTCCACTTTGGGCATGGACCTACACCACTCAACGGCTGCTATGATGTGGCCGCAACCCATGTACAAGATAGAGAAAGACTTGCTCAGATGTTAGCTCAGGGCAAATCTTCCTCAAGCAAAAAGAAGGAAAATTGGCAACAGATGTTAGCTCAGGGCAAATCTTCCTCAGCATAAAAAAAAAAGGGGGCTTAGGGGGCATAGGAGCTAACCTGAAAGAACGTCCGATGGCCAAAGGTGGAACAGTTTGAGCAACAATATAAATTGCTATAGCAATGGATTACCCAGAGAACTCAACAGCCCACATGGATACAAATAAATAATTGAATAAATAAACAGGGGAGGAAGGGACAGCTCTTCCGTACAAAAGAATAACTCCAATGTGAAAAAGAATATGGATAACAGAAAATCGCACAACTAGAACACAAGAGTGATTATGATGAAGTAATCGCTGAAGGCAAGATCCACGAGTGAACACTTAATTGGTGGGCAAAACTTTGAAGAGAAACAGAATATGTACCTAGTTTCAAAGTATCTCCCTCAAGATATCTATTAATAACAAAGGAAAAAGTCAACTTTACACTACAGAAATCTGGTAGACAGTACCTTACCCAAGTGATCAAGGCTGACATCACCAAAAATAAGATCTATCAACATTATGTAGCCCCTGATATGATACACTGAGAAGGGCATATAACTTGAGGTATTCTTGCCAAAAATGCATTACCTCAATCTAATCAAGATAAAATATCAGAGAAACCCAAACTGAGGGACATTCTACAAAATATCTGACCAGTATTCTTCAAAAGTATCAAAAGTTATGAAAGACAAGTAAAAACTAAGAAACTGTCACAGACTGAAAGAGACTAAAATGACACAACAAATGTGATTTGGGATCTTGGACTGGATCAAGACAGAAGTTCATTAGCAGAAAATCTGCTGAAATCCAAATAAAGTCTGTAGTTTAGTATACAGTATTGTACCAAGGTGAATTTCTTGGTGTTGGTAATTGCACTATGGTTATGCAAGATGTTAATATCAAGGGAAGCTAGGTGAAAAGCATATCTACTATTTCTACAACTTTTCTATAAATCTGTAATTACTTCAAAGTTAAAAAGTTTTTTAAAAATCTTGAGACAAAAGTCAAAAGTAATACATAGGTCATGTTTGAATACTGAAACAACTGAGAATATCTGAATATGGACATTGTTTTATATCAAGGAATTATTAATTTTTTAGTGTGATTATGTTAAAAATTAATTAGAGATGCACCTGGAGGTATTTCTGGGTGAAATTATATGATGCTTGTGATTTGCTTTAAAATATTTCAGGAAAAAAGTGTTGGGGGGGGTCACATACAGACTGTAAAAACGTTGGTAATTACTGAAGCTAGGCAACGAGTACCAAACTTTTACTTCTACTTATTAGGAAAAAGGAGATTTTTCATTATTTGATTACACAACTCTGAAAAGGCTGGGGTTTGTATGTACATGTGTATGTGTGTTTTATTTTGTTTTTTTGGGAAGGATGACTGCAAACAACCTTACTTTTATAGTTAATTTATTTTAAGTGTTTTTATCGTAGTTAAATATACATTAGATAAAATTTATCACATAAACTGTTTTTAAGTGTATAGCTCTGTGGCATTAAGCACATTCACACTGTTGTGCAACCATCACCACTACCCATCTCCAGACATGATTAAAATTTTTAATTGAAAGCAATTATTTAAATTTTAGTCATTCATTTTTTGACTAGTTAATACACTCAGAGTTCAAACTTCAAAAAGATACAAAAAAGAATATGAAGTGAAAAGACTCCCCCAACTCTGACCCCAACCACCCAATTCCCCTCTCCAGAGGCATCTAATCCTATCTGTCCAGACATATTTTATGCACTTAAGCAAATTACACACACACACATTCATATACCTTTTTAAGGCAACTGGTAGCATATTATTCACAATTCTGTGCCTTGCTTTGTTCACCTAAAAATGTACCTTGAAACCTGTATCTTTAAATCTACTTACTCTAAATAATCTTCTTCCTTCAAAGGCCCACCCAATACCCTAGTGAAGCTTTCCCAGACTGCCGAGGTTAATAGTAATCTCCTCCTATAAATCAGCTCTTACTTGTTGTTACTGAATTGGCTCTTTTCCTAACACCATGCAATGCCAATGATCACTGTATGCATATGAGCTGGTTCAGTGCAACTTGTAGAAAGGGGTCTTATCATATAATATAGTGCTTTGTGCCCAATAAACATTTCATAAACTTTCATCTCAAGCAAAGGATCATCACTGAATAACAAACAAAACTTAAGATTAATGATATGGTTTTAGATATAAAATTTTTAATTTATTCTATTTATTTATTTGTTATTTGGTTTATTACTATCCCCAAGATTGAAAGTACTTCCAATTTACAAAGACTCACTGCAATTTCTTGGCCCTGGTGGACATGAACTACATCAAGCTACATTCATTTTACTTCTTTGATAATTTCTTCCTCTAAATTTTCTCTATTTTTTCTGAAACCCCAATTATTTGGCTATTGGGTCTTTTGGACTAATCCTTGTACTGTCTTTTTTCTCTTAATCTCATTTTTCAACTTTGTCTTTTTACCCCTTGTGGGAGAGCCAGTCTATTTATGCACTACTCTTTAAGAGCTGAGATTTTACAGGGTCAGATTATAAAGTCATTTTGAGATTTTAAGAGAGCTCTCTCTATATAGATATTATTAAGAGCGATCAGTGAAAAAACCTATGGCTGCATCCCAGACTCCGCCATATAACAAGAGTGCATCTTCAAGACGTCACGGTGTTTAAAAGAGACATGAAGCCCATAACTTTGAATCCACCATCTTGGGAGACTGACAGTGCACATGAACACATTAAAGATGGAAAACTCTGGCTGTAAAAACCTTATGTAACTAATGTTGAATACAGAATTTTGAAAACAGCTGCAGAATCCTTATTTTTTAAAAACTCACATTAATATCTGAGATGAGTGTTCCAACAAACAGTTGATAGGAGGCAAAAGACCTCTCATCTGCTGAACCCTTTGTTCTACTTTTAACTCTACAATCCCGGAAAATCATTCAACCTCCAGAAAACTCAGTCTTCTTGTGTTAAATCTTTACGAATCAGTTTTAAAGAGCCATATAAGTAATATATTATTAATACTAAAGGTGACTATTTTTTAATTGGAAAAGTATACACCACAAATTTCCTTCTCTTTCCTCTCACATCTCTCAATTCATTTGCTCTTTATAAATCTGTATACGTTAAGCTTCTCCTATTTTTCTAAACAGCAAAGCTAAGAGTACCTTCCACTATTTTTTTCCTCTTCACTTTTTGGGGGTGAAGATTGGCCCTGAGCTAATATTCATGCCAATCTTCCTCCATTTTACTACGAGGGACGCCACCACAGTGTGACTCGACAAGCAGTGTGTAGGTCCATGCCTGGGTTCCAAAACTGCAAACCCCAGGCCGCCAAAGCAGAGTGCACGAAGGTAACCACTACACCACCGGGCTGGCCCTCCATTACTGTTTTAATATTTCTACTAATTTTTTGGTCCAGGTGACAATACAGCTCATAACAGTCCTAGTTTATGATCTTATCCTAGAAAAATTATTAATAATGTCTACTTTCACTCTAAAATTGTCTCAGTTTTGATGATAAAGTATATGGTCATCCTATCTTTGGGTTGTTATCACAAATTCTTTTTTATGTTGCTAAATTTGAAATAAAAATTTCATTTAAAAAAAGTTATTGCCAAATGTGACAAAAAGTAATTCAAAAGGTACTCTGGGGTTTTATTCAAAGGTTAAAATCTTTTCCTAATACAGAGTATTTATTAAATATTTAACCTTAGTCAAAGTATACTACACTTTCTTAAGGAGAAATAGTCCAACTGTTACGGACTGAACTGTGCCCCCTAAAAACTCATATGTTGAACCCTTATCCCCAATGAGACTATATGTGGAGACGGGGAATTTACAGAGGCAATTAAGGTTAAATGAGGTCATAAGGGTGCAGCCCTAATCCAATTTGACTGGTGTCCTTACAAGAAGAGGAGGAGACACCAAGGACGCACAGGCACACAAAGGAAAGACCATGAGAGCACACAGCAAGAAGGCAGCTGTCTGTAAGCCAAGGAGAGAGGCCTCAGCAGAAACCAAATCCATTGACTCTTAATTTTGGACTTCAAGCCTCATGAAATGTGAGCAAATAAATTTCTGTCGTTTAAACCACTCAGTCTGTGGTACCTTGTCATGGAGCCCTAGCAAACTAATACACCAACATTCACTGAGAAATATATTCCAAACATTCCTCTTACCTGGATATACATATCTCTCTAACTTGTTGAGGTGTCAGAGCAAAAATAAAAAACTTCTCTTGAAATCGTTGAATACTGCTTTGAACTGGGGAGAAAAAAAAAGAAAGATAATATTCCAATAACAAATTTAAGAATATAAGATTTATTATATCTTATATCAAGATCTGCAGTAACCAGGCAGTTCCAATAAAGACTGTGCCAAATTCTGAAATTTTTGTGGTAAAAATACTCCAAAATAAAGTAGTACTAAACTCTATTCTTTTTGGAATCATCAAAGTAAAGTGACTCTACAGCAGGTTCAATTTTAAGCATTTATCATTCTTTATTCTAACACACTAATTATAATATAGCCAAAATATAACACAACCCTCCAAAACTACATTTCATCCTTGACTACAGTATCAGCTACTGAAAATCTGAGGAAGCCAAAAACTCCCACCAGGAGAACGTTATCCAAGAATCATGTGTCTTTTTTGTTTGTTTTCTTGGTTGTGTTTTGTTTTCAATATTTATATTCAATTACACAGAGTATATAAGAGGAAATGTAAAACTTCTAAGTTGAGTTATTAAGATAGATAGAAATTTTGTTGTTGGTCAAGGTGATTCCGACTCCTAGCGCCCCTGTGCACAGCAGAGCGGAACTCTGCCTGGTCTTTTTCCGGCATCCTCTCACCTTCTGGCGCTCTACCAGCCAATGCTCCACTCCTATTCATAGAGTTTTCACGGCAAATTTTTTGGGAAGTAGGTGGGCCAGGTCCTTCTTCTTTGTCTTAGTCTGGAAGCTCTGCTGAAACCTGTCCACCATGAGGACCCCTGCGGGTATTTGAAATACCGGTGGCATAGCATAGCTTTCAGCATGACAGCAACACACAGCCGCCACAGTATGACAACCGACAGACAGGTGGTGTGGTTCCCTGACTCAGAAACGAAGCCAGGCCGTGGCAGTGAGAGCTGAGAGCGCCAGATCTTAATCCCTAGACCACCAGGACTGGCTACATAGTAATTATTTGCATACAATAGATTATCTAGTTAAAAAAGATTACCTAAGGAAGTCATCCTTCTTAACCATATTATTAAAAATTGAAATGTATTCACTTCACAAAGAACTAACAGATTTACAGTGATGCAATACTCAATGGCGTTCTAGTGCTCATTAAAACAAAAGCTAATACAGAGGCTTCAAGCCTTCTGCTTCCTAACAAGTACTGCAACCACACGCAAGAGGACACAAAAAGGCTCTTGTGTGTGTTACCAAACACAGTTTTCCCAATGCATAAAGTTAAATAACAAGATGCCAGTTGAATAATGTCAGAGGCCTTCAATCCACAAGTCACACCAAATAAGAAAAATATTAACTCATTGGGTAAAATACTTTTCTTTAAGCATAGCATTTATTGTAAGAATTAGGTTTCTAGCAATCATGTCATAAAGCGGTTCATATTTTCCCAGAACATTTAAACGGAGGGAGGGATGCTGTTTATGATGAAGGCCTAAAAATCAAACAAAACTACAAGTTGTAAACATAACTATGGGGCATAAAACACAAACACATAACTACAGTAGGAAGTCTCTCCATATCTTCAATTCCTCTTCACTCCAACTCTTCCTTGTGCAGATTCTACTTTCCACTTCTCCATCCATGGCTAAGGTCACCAACAACCTCTTAACTATCAAATTCAATAATATATATTTTGAGATTAGAGGTGAACACACTGCATTTTCAATCTTAATTAACAGTATGAGCACCCAGTCTCTCCAGCGAGAAATTTCAAAAGGTCTAACACAGGTACAAATAAAGCCCCAGAAGGATGGAGCATTGAAAAAAAAAAACTTGCAGAAATAACGAAAGAATACTCCATAACTTTGATGGAGGGGGGACAAACCCTTACAGATCAAACACCAAGCAAAATGAATACAAAGAAAACTACCTAGTCACATCAAAATCAAACTAATGTACTGAAAACTAATGATGACTAAAAAAATCTTAAAAGCAGTCACAGAAAAAAGAAACATTACATACAAGAGAACAAGAATACGAATAAAGGCTGACTTCTCATCAGAGGCAATCTAGGCCAGAAGTCATCTTAAAAGTAGTGAAAGGAAAAAAGTGCCAACTGAAAATTCAATATCCTTCAAAAATAGGGTGAAATAAAGACTTCTTTACTCCTCAATTAAAATAGGAATAACACTTTGCTCATCTGCCTTTTAAAGGCTGTTTTGTGAATCAAATGCAGTAACATACATGAAAGCATTCTAAAAACAATAAGGCACTACACATATGTAATACATTTTGAATTTCAGAAGTCCTGCACAAAAGTCTCTGCTTTCTAAGAGATAGCAAAATTTCAGAAAAAGAGGGAAAAAGAAATCCAGCCCAACAGATGCATTTTCCAAATTATTTAATAACAACGACTTTTTCTTGGTAATATATTTAAGTAGAAAATATTTTCATATGCCTAAATGTTAAATATTTTAGTAAAATATGAAACCTCCCAAGTCCTTCCAGCCCAGGAAGTATTATATTGACAACTTTTGATAAACTGGTTTATATTTAGTCAAGAATGTTACCTAGCAGTGAGTGCTTATAAAATGGCTCACTCAGGGAGGAGATAAACCAAGAGGTTTTATAGGCAGCTTTGTGGATTACCATGGTTCAGTCTAGCTAATCTACCAACAAAATAATTCATAAAGTAACAATGAATAAATCAGTTTATTACATTGCATTATCTAAGATCTCTACCCTGAGCTATTTGGTGCCCCATCACCCATCAATTAATTGTATCATCATCACCAATCAAAGACTACTCTTACAGTATTCCTTTTCCCATTGCATCACTGCATCAAAAACAAGGGGCGGGGGGGATGACCCTCAAACATGTATAAACAAAAATACACCAAAACTAATATTCTTATAGTTATAATAGAAGAAATAAACATAAGTTCTGTTTTATATTAGGAAACTAGCTCATTTTTGATAACTTGTTTCTTAACACATTTGGAACTAAGAGGCACACACAATGCTTTCAAAACACTTGACTGAATAATTCTATATTCCAATATTCAATTGTTTACAAATACAGTTATCATTGAACATTGCTTTACATGTACTTTTTTAAATGACAATCCTCCTATACGCACACCAAAAGTTTTCTAATTTAATGAGATTTACACAGAATGTAACAAACGCGTCATTTTTAAAGTTTTACCTATACAGAAACCATCACTATATTAATAATCATCAGTGATGTTTATTACCAAAATACTTTCTCCCCTATATAACAGCTGCGAAGATCATTTCGGGAGGGCAGAGTAGTGAGATTTCACCCTTCTTGTAAAACAGTCACTTTAATTCAGAATTATGAAAGAGAATAGTTACCAATTGTCCAATCACTAGAAATCATTCACTTCCTTTACCTGAGTCCTCTTCTTCCTCCTCTATATCCAGTTAGTCATTAAGTGCTGTTTTCTAAAATTTTCTTATAGCCTGCTTCCTCTCCAGTTTTACTACTACCATCCTACTCACAACCAATTACTACTTTGTGCAAATGAAATAGCAACTCTGCCTCTCTGTCAGTCTCCCAACAGGATACAAGCGCAGAGCTGGTCATTCTTAGCACCACTTTCAGCACCATTCCTCTGCTCAAAAATGCTCAGCAGTTGGGGCCGGCCCTGTAGCAGAATGGTTAAGTTTGCGCACCTCGCTGCAGGCAGCCCAGTGTTTCATCAGTTTGAATCCTGGGCACAGACATGGTACCACTCATCAAGCCACGCTGAGGCAGCATCCCTCATGCCACAACTAGAAGGACTGACAATTAAGAATATACAACTATGTACTGGGGAGCTTTGGAGAGAAAAAGGAAAAAAATAAAATCTTAAAAAAAAAAAATGCTCAGCAGTGTCCCATCTCTGAATGAAGCCAAGTCTAAACTCCTTTATCTCTAAGAGCCTCCATAACAATCGCCTCGCCTCTTTCCTAGCAAACCTACATTTCCAATGTCTCCCCAAGTCTTACTTAATTCAAAGTAGTTTCTTCACTGTCAGGCTTGATGAGCATGGCTTGATGAGTAGTGCTAGGTCCATGCCCAGGATCTGAACTGGCAAACCCCAGGCCGCCGAAACCGAGTGCATGAACTTAACCACTCGGCCACGGGGCTGGCCCTTCAAGAAGTCTTTACTGACTTCCCTATTCAATAGGCCAATATGATATTTGAGTTTTATAGTGCTTCATCATACAAGCATATACCTGAATGTTACTTTTCTCCCATGTTAACATTATCTCACCAACTAGATAACAAACTTCCTAAGCCCATTCCATACTTCTGACTTCCCCACAATTAGACTACATAACCATATCCAAATTAAATCCTCATTATATACTTGTTAACTGAGTTAACAGAAATGATGCATACAGTGTCTGAATTTATCCAAATTCTTTAGAAGTGAAATATTTTAACGACTTTACATTAATGTGCATATCATTTTAAATCTGTTTAATTGTACCCAGAGGCTTAATGAGTATTTCCTAATATTCAGGAATTTAAGAATATAAAAAGATGTTGACTCACTAATTTTTCACCTTTCAGATTAGCAAAGATTAAAAGATCAAAAATACAATGCTGACGAGGATGTAGGGAAAATAATACATTCATCCACTATTGGAGTATAAAGTGACACAACACTTTTGAAGCAACTGCCAAAACTCCCTCCAAAAGTTGAATATCAAAAATATTAAATGCTTATACTCTTTGACACAACTTCAAATCTAGGCATTTATACTTCATAAATTTGTACACAAGTGTTGAGAAACACATATGCAAAAAGGCTCACAGCAGCAATGTCTGTAAGACTAAGAATAATGCCTGACACATGCTATACACTAAAATATTTCTGAATAAATAATAAAAACCTGAAAATGTACATCAACAGAATATTGGTTAAGTTATGGTATATCTACAAAATAACAGATCTACTGTAATCTACACATCTACAATACATTTCCAAGAAAGACTGTTATGGTACAAAACTCCAGGGGGCGCTATTGACAGAGGATACAAGTAGAGTAGTGTCCTCTCTCAGCAGAAATGTGGCACAGTGGCTCTGCAGTTGGAAAATGCTGTTTTTAATGGAGAAGAGAAAAAAGATGACATGGCATATGCAGAGAAACAGTTAACTACTGATATGACTAGCTGCGTGATACGAGAGAGTATGAGGGGCTTTTTCTGTTATATTCCTATGATGTTTAAATTTTCAAATACTAGCATAAATTACTTTTGTAATCTGAAGAGCACAATGAAGAAATTATAAAGAATCAAAGGCTCAAAATACTTTGAAGTAATTTAAAAAATACCAAACAGCCAGACGTATCAATATACAGATGCTTATAAACAGAGTAAACAGAGAGCTAGTCACAGAAGAATGTATATAGTATACACCATTACAGAAATTTCAAAAGCAAGCCAATTAAACATTATTTTTTTTATACATATAAAATAAGTAAAGGAGAGGAACACAAAATTCAGGACAGTGATTTAACTCAGAAAGGAAAGGCAAGGAGATGGCTTAAAAGATAATGGCAACATTCCTTTTTTAAAAATTGGGTAGTGGTTTCACAGCTGTTCATTTCATTGATATTCTTTATAACTTAACATTCTATATTTACTCCTTTGAAAAGACTGAATATACAAAAAAATTTTTCAAATAGAAAATTCCCCAAGTATTTCACCTTCAAAAGAAATTATCTGAAAAAAGAAAAGAAGAAAATTGAAAATAAGAGAAAAAGACTGCCTGTGAGAGCAAATCAGAATAGCTATTTAAGGAAGGAGACCAGAGATTTTTGTTAGTTTGTTTTTAGATTAGGGGATCACCCATTTGTTACAGTAAACCCTTAGCTACAGAGAACCTCATGCCTTCTGGATGCCACAGTTTGTCATTTTAAATGCTAAAATATTTTTATTTTAACCATTTTGAATAGAAATAATTCCAAACTGAAAAACTATCCAATAATGCATGTTCTTAAACAGAATATACTCACCGTGGTGTTTTCTGGTTGGCTCCTTTTAGCATCAACACATGTGCGATGCTGTAACAGGGACTCCCTCAATACTAAAGGGCTATTGGTTTCAATATCCCAAGAGGTTTTGGAATAACAGATTTTGACCTGTTGTGTCTGTTCTTTTCTACCACAACTCTTCCAGTCTCTCCCATGAAGTCAATTAATTCCTGCTCAATAATATGTTGATGGCTTAGCAATCATCTAATCAACTGTATATAAAAATCGAGAATACACAGACTGGCTTGCAGACGTCAAGAACACGTGCTTTGAAATATGGACTTGATATCTTCTTTGACTCCTAAGGATTTTTAATTCTCATTTCCCAAATGTAAACAAGTTTCTCCATAGCAGTGTTTCAAATTAAATAGATTTTTCCAGGATTTTTATTTTCATAAGTATTTTCAACATCATAAAAACCATATCATTAAAAATTAAGGCATCTTCTGAATATCATTACATTGCTTTAGACATTTTGACACTAAAATTTTTCAATTAAAGGTCATTACTGGAAATGATCAATTTTTTTCCACTTTTATCTGGCAGACTATATAGTACTATGTTGATTTTTTAACTTTCTACTTCAAAGTCTAAAAAGCACATTACTTAAATTACCGTTTTATCAATCAGACATAAGACTATATACATTAAGAAAATTCTTTTCTTTTCTCTTTAGGGAAGGCAGGATAAGGAAATGTTTAAGCCTTGTTTTAAAACAAGAATCAGTTATAAAGTTTATAAAAACAATGACAGGCGGGACTCCTAAAAAAACATATGAATAGTTTTTAGCTCAGGGGTCAAAAGCTGTTTTATAAGCCCTTAGGTTATACATATTTCTTACATTCTAATTTAAACTATGAGCAAAAGGCAGGTTTTTCTTAGTCACTCTTCAACACAAAATATCTATGGCATTATTTTACCTAAGCCAAATGAGACAAAAAGCTTTATTTTAGTAAACTTATAAAAAGCTTATACTTTCCTTTAACTTTGAGGTTAACGAAAAAGAAACTCTATGAGGAATACAGAAAAGCAAGAAAATTCCTATTTCTATTTCTGAACAAATAGGAAAGCAAGGAAAGAAAAAAGCACAAAGCCTCTCCAGGGTTTACCCCTCGTCATACCACTGATGCTAATGAGTAGAGAAAACACTGCTGCATCTTCTCTCAGTCTCCAGTCTTCTTTCCAGCATTCAACCATGTCTCTGAAACATCTTGAACTGTAACCACACCCCACAGGCCCTCTTCTCTTCTCAGTCCCACCCCAACCATGCTCCTGAGGAGTCCCATGAGGTAGGGTCACCTAAGCACATCACCAGTCTGAATCTTTCTCAAAATACACACAAAGAAACTTGCAATAATTGCTGAGAAAGAAGTATGTGAATGAGTCATGATACTGTGCATTGGTATAAACCAAAAACTACAAGGGGAGAAATAAAAAAATTAATTATGGGGAACATTTTAACCAGATAAACCCGAACTTGTGAAAAATCAGTTAAAGATGAAAGTAAAATCATAAAAGAAAAGCAACTGAGTAATAAACATTTTAAATGTTTGCATCTGTTATTAATTTTAAAAATGAAAAATCTAAACAAGATACAAGTTTACACCTATCAAAAAATCCACAAAGATTTGTTTTTAATAACACCTAATAAAGGCAGGAAGTAAAGTGCAGTGAGAGACATTCACTCACTCTGTGTAATTTAAACTGGCACAGCTCTTCTGGAAACTAATTTAGCAATATGTTATCAAGAGTCTAAAACGTTCTTATTCTTTGATGCCATAATTCTACTCATAGGACTCTGTACAAATAATAAAATGTGAGCAAACACAGCATCCTTATTTCAGAATGACATACTCTACCTGCCTGGCTCAGTATTGCTAAATAAAAACAAAGCAAGGAGAAAGGGCCTGGGAAAAGCAGAGCCACCTTGTCAGCCACCAATCACACCATACTGATCCCATCAACTAGCCCTGTACCTCAAAATTTCCTTTTGACTCAACTAAGATGTACTGTGGTATAATCCTATACAAAAGGGGGAAAAAAGCACATTGATACAGTTAGTTTTTTCAAATGACTTGAAAGAAAAAGGGTTTTCCCAGGATGGAAAAAAAAAATAATCTCCCAGATGAACAAACTTTTACTTAGGCTGATGACTTCTGTGTTGTAATGACAATTTATTACTGCCTAATGAAATTACTTACAGAAGTACTTGGATTTTTGATGACATAAATTGTCTGGGAAATGGCATTTCCTAATTAAAGCCACACATATCAACTCTTAGTAATATGATAAAATTTATTAAATTTTCAGAGAAGTTGATGGATATTAAACAAAAGCTAAAAAATGTGTTAAACTCCCTGCACCACTTCACAAAAAAACTAAGTATAAAAGGTTTCTTTCTTTTAGTTTAAAAGCTATGTTACATATAAACTAAGTCTCTTTGTAAAAATATCAAAAAACAGAATCACACGCAATAAGATTTCTGCCTGTTCCTATACACACAGAACCAATTTGAGTTCTATGCCATAAAAAGAGCACTCAAATGATGAATTAACAGTTTTATATTAGATTTCAGGTATAGTTGCCAATATGTTTTTATCAATTTAAACATTTGGCATTAATACCTCAATTTTATAATATTAACAGCAAAGCACTAATCAATAGTTGAAGGCCTCTTGCTTTATTTACTCCCTTGTCCAGAAGAAACTGATTTCTCCAACACTTACCTAAACTTGTGGGCTTGATGAGAACATCAAGGACATCATAAAAGGGCAAGTTTTTTAACTGCACATCAGGATGGACAGGAGGAATTGGGGGAGATGGCTGCTGCATCTCAAATGTGGGCTTAGTATCTTGAAGCAGCACAGAACCAACAGGAGAGGACGGTGAGTGAGGTGTAACTGAAGTGGAAGGCAACGAGTGGATTCCAGCCACGGCCAAGTCAGGTTCTACAGGTGACGAGCTACCATCCAAATTGAAAACTGATGATTTGATTGTGGATAAATCAGACAGTCCTTCAAGAGTCCTTGGGTATCGGCGTCTATACAATTCTCGGATTTTAATCTGAACCGCAGGGCTGCAGCCACTCTTCAACAAATGCAACGCCCTCATCAGGAGGTCATGTTTGCGTCCACTTTTATTCCGTCCAGCGAAGCCTAGTAACACTTGTAGTTCAGAAACCCTAAAACTAGAAACCATATTCTAAAAGGAAAGGAAAAAAAAAAGGACATAAGCCAGTAGTCACCCTCAAGTATACGAAAACCCTATCTAAAATATACTGTAAAATCTGGTTTTTCCAGCAATCTATCAACTGGCATGTGCTAGTAACAGCATTTTCACATACCACTTAGAATCATTCCTGTTTACACAGGTAGCCCCCTCCCAAATTACATTCAAGTTATGATGTTATATTTTGTTGTCCTCTTAATTTTGGCAATCTACAGTCTATTAGTTTCTATTAACCACCTCATTATCTGACTAAGCTCAAGAGTAAACCCATATTTGCTTTACAAATATGAAATTTATAACCAATGAAAATGTTCCTTTTCAAAACTAAGTCCTACCAACACATAACGTAATGTCTGTTACAATATTATCATCAATTAACCAAGCAAAAAATTAGATTTAGCCATGCTGTATGTGTAACTTCTGATGCTTAGTAAACCTACAAAATGAAGAAAGAATTGTCATCCAAAATCCAATGAATTTTTCACCCCATCTCAAATACTAAGGAACAGACAACGCAAGAAAATAAGGATATTTTTAAATATTAAAGCTAAAAAACACATACATCTTATTTAGCAAGCTTCTAACATGAATGAAATTCCCAGCTGAGTATCCAAGGAGAAAAAGACCTTTGAAGAGCAAGGAAATGGGTGGTCATAAATCTTAAAGGGCATGATTCCCTCCACAGCACTCTAACAACTTGTTCTTGGGTATACGATGAAGGTTATAAAGCAGTTCCTGCTTCATACCACACCATCTATTTACTCAACAGAACCTACTAAATACTTTTAAACACTTACTGCCTCATAAATCCACCTACTTAGTGATTTTCAGGCAACTGTGAACTCGGAGGTAAAGTACTCTTGGGTCAGATTTACTCATACACTCGTGAATCATCTGGCCAGAAAAAGGAGTAAGATCTGGAGCAGACCAAAATCTCTTTCAGAAATGGACCCTAACGAAACTTTTCCCACAGTGCTGCACCCTCCACCACTACCTGGGATTCCTTCTCAACCTGGCAGGTATGCAGTGGCAACACCTACAGCTAGCACTGATTCATAATAATTCCTCTGTTCTGCACTTTTAAGTCTCATGATAGCCCAGAAGTAAATCTTTAAAACTCTGCTTGCCTTTTTTTTTTTTTATGCTGAGGAAGATCTGCCCTGAGCTAACATCCGTTGCCAATCTTCCTCTTTCATTGCTTGAGGAAGATTAGCCTTGAGCTAACACCTGTGCAAATCTTCCTCTATTTTTTTTTTTTGTACGTGGGACACCACCACAGCATGGCTGGTGAGTGGATTAGGTCTGTGCCCAGGATCCAAACCCGTGAACCTGTGCCACCAAAGTGGAGCGCATAGAACTTTAACCACTTAGCCTTGGGGCCAGGCCCCTGCTTGCCTTTTAAATAGTTGTCGGAACAATACTTGCCGGTTTCCTAAAATGCAAACAAATTTAAATGTATCAAAGTAATCTGCATATAAAAGCTGTACCATAATTCTAGTTCATACACTAAATGTCTCCATATTTCATATTGTACAAGTCAGAGAATATTAAAGTTGTAATCCTTGCAACCATTTTTTACACTCTCGATCAGTGCTGTCAAATAGAACTAGGAACTATATATATAATTCTAAATCTTCTAGTAGCCATATTAAAATAAAATTTCAATTAATTTTGATAATATGCTTTATTTAACTCAATAAATCAAAAGTATTATATCAAGATGTAATCAATTTTTGTGATTTAAAAATAATTTTTTTAAGTGTCGAGATATTTTTGCATACTAAGTCTCAATATCCAGTGTGTATTTTACACTTACAGCACATCCCAATTTGGACTAACACTGCACAGTGCAGCTCTAAATCACACTCCAACAGCAACAAATATCACAATGCCATGGCCATCATACTTCAACTTGCTTCATTTCCTCCATATGTGAAGATGATGATTTATCTATCTTACCCTATGCAATGGACAACAAAGATGGAAAACAAGAAAATTCTTGGCCTACCTCATGACACACCAGCTACAGTTTACTCAAGGTTTCATGCATTAAAAAACTATGATGGGGCAGGACCAAGATGGCGGAGTGAGCGGTCTTGTCTCTCCCCCGTCGAATCCACAACTAATTGGACATTCACCGATTAACAAAGGATATCCAGATAGCATCTCAAGATGCCTAAGAGTTTCATGCTACTATACAACGGAAGGCTGAAGGAATTCCCTCCAGGAGGAGGTGGAAATAGGTGAAAACTCTCTGACCCCTGACCCCCGACCCCCGGACAGCCTAGTTCCTGCAGGAGGCTCTCTTCCAGCGGACTCCCCCATAGCATCGCCACACACCAAGGGCAGGAGTGTGCACTCACCAGCGGAGCGATGGTGGAAACAGGTGACAACAGCCGTACCCAAGCCCCCTGCGATTACACCTAAGCCCAGGAAGAATCCCCAGGGTCCCACACCCAGTGGCAGGGAAGGCCTCCGCTCGCCATTAGTAGGGAGGCCCCGCCCAGAATCCAGAATAAAGGGAAGCTCCCAGCGGGCAGATTCCCTGGCTGGCACCAGACCGCAAGCTGCTGCTGGGTTCACAAGTCTCCGACGCACGGGTTGGTGCAGGGGGTGCCCAGACTTCCCGTAGACGTGCTTGAGGACACGGTTGGAGCTCCAGCACCTGGCTCTGCGGCCCGGGGAGAGGCTCCAGGGTCCCACACCACCCACGGCAGGGAAAGCCTCTGCTCACCATTAGCTGGAAGGCCCCTCCCAGAATCCAGAACAAAGGGAAGCTCCTGGTGGGCGGATTCCCCAGTACGGCATCAGACTGCAAGCTGCTGCTGGGCCCAGGGTCTCCAGAGCACAGGTTGGTGCAGGGGGTGCCCGGACTTCCCATAGACGTGCTTGGGGACACGGTTGGAGGCCCAGCGCCCGGCTCTGCGGCCCAGGGGGAGGCTCCGGGGTCCCGCACCTCCCCGGCACGGACAGCCTCTGCTCGCCATTAGCAGGGAGCCTCCGCCCAGCATTCAGAACACCAGGAAGCTCCCTAGAGCAGAATTCCCCACAAGGCAGCAGCTTACAAGCCAGCACCAGGCCCACGGACTCTGGCCGTGTCCCAGATGAGGCAAACAGCTCCCAGAGATCCTGTGAGAGTGGAGTGGGGCACAGTGGAGCTCCAGTGAAACAGCTACATAGCCCAGGGGGGAACTCCAGGTTCCTACAGCAGCCTCAGCGAAAGCCTCTGCACAGCACTAGTGGAGAGGTCCCGACTGGCAATCTCAAGGCGGGAAGGCCCTGGCGCAAAAGTAGCACAGCTAGGTGAGCTAACGACAGACTGCAGAAGATACCCATAGCTCTGCTGGGACCTATAGTGGACAAGTGTGATCTTGTGGGCTCTGTTAGGGACAAAGCGGCAATTATAGGTGATCCTGCTACTGGCTGCTGGGAAAGCCCACAACACTGCTGCAGACCACAAGGAGGGAGCACGTCCAAGTGGGCTGCAATAGTAGGCACCAGCAGCTGAGGCCCCCTTGCGATTGCCCCCACAACCAACGAGGGACCCCACAGGACCACTGCGACTATGAGGAGGGGTCCAGGTCCAGTCAGTAACAGCTGACAGGGTTCCTGGTTGGTGCAGTCTAAACAGCTGCCCTCCCCCACACCAGTCGCAACAAGTGGAAGCAGCGACTAAACTCTATCTCTATGCGGAGGCACAAATCCACGCAAGCAGTATGAAAAAATATATTAAATCTCCAGAACAGAAGGAAAATGATAAGCACCCAGAAAACAATCCCAAAGACAATGAAATCTATAACCTAAATGACGATGATTTCAAAACTGCCATTATTAAAAAACTCAACGAGTTAAAAGAGAATTCAGATAGACAACTCAATGAGTTCAGGAGCTATGTCACAAAAGAGCTTGACACTATAAAGAAGAACCAATTAGAAATACTGGAGATGAAGAACACAATGGAGGAGATTAAGAAAAATCTGGACTCTCTGAACAGTAGGGTCGATAATATGGAGGACAAAATTAGCAATTTGGAGGATAGGAATATAGAAATGCTGCAGACAGAGGAGGAGAGAGAACTAAGAGTAAAAAGAAACGAAGAAACTCTCTGAGAATTATCCAACTCAATTAAGAGATGCAACATAAGGATTATAGGTATACCAGAGGGAGAAGAGAAGAAGGGGGCAGAAGGCCTATTCAAAGAAATAATAGCTGAGAACTTTCCAAACTTGGGAAGAGAGATGGAAGTTCATGTGACAGACGCCAATAGATCTCCAAACTTTATTAACGCAAGAAGACCAACCCCAAGGCATATAGTAGGGAAACTAGCAAAAGTCAACGACAAAGAGAAAATACTAAGGGCAGCCAGGCAGAAGAAAATAACTTACAAAGGAAACCCCATAAGGCTATCAGCAGACTTCTCAGGAGAGAACTTACAGGCTAGAAGAGATTGGAATGAAATGTTCAAAACTCTGAAGGACAAATACCTGCAGCCACGAATACTCTACCCAGCGAAAATATCCTTCAAATACGATGGAGAAATAAAAACTTTCCCAGATAAACAAAAGTTAAGGGACTTCATCGCCACAAAACCTCCTCTTCCAGAAATGCTCAGGAAGAACCTCATTCCTGAAAAATCAGAAAAAGGAAAGGGGCTGCAAAATCCAGAAGAAAGAAGATAAGCAGAAGAACAATAACACAAAGTAACAGCTCTCCATCAGGACAAAATGCAAAAGAACCGGAAAACAAGTGATAAAATGGCAAGACTAGGCCCCCACGTTTCAATAATCACTCTAAACATGAATGGATTGAACTCTCCAATCAAAAAGCACAGAGTGGCAGGATGGATCAAAGAACAAGATCCAACAATATGCTGCCTCCAGGAAACGCACCTCAGCCCCAAAGACACACAGACTCAAAGTGAAGGGATGGAAGACAATACTCCAAGCTAATAATGAACAAAAGAAAGCAGGTAT